GACGCACGAGATAAGGGGCACGAAGTAATGCGTAATTTATCAAGCTGACACTCGGCGTTGAGTGTTAATTATACGCGACGCATCAATCCTCCGAGTTTATTCAGCGTTGCCGGCGGAAGATACGAGACGCAGTGCGCGAGGTAGTCGTTAAATCGTTACGCTTCGTCGTCTGGAAAGGAATACCACGAGTGTCGTTTCTGTTACGAAGATAGGTACGGCCTTAATGTATTTTCGATAATCGAACTGCGTCCGTTTTGAACGCTAGAATATAAAATTGTTTCTTTCTCCGAGAGAAAAGATAATAAGAAACAAAAACATGGAATATACGTGGATGCAACGAAGCTGATTTAAAGTTGTTCTAAAGTAGCCGAGGTTCCGTCGAAATGCGTTTTCCTTCGGCCGAGGTTCGAATATCGACGCGAAGGACGAGGCGAATGGGAATCGGACGATTTCTCGCGCCGAAAGGACACTTCCAGACGATTTACGAGTCGATTAGCATGGTAATATGCGATTTACACCCGTAGAAGCCTTGGCCAGATGAGTATTTTTATTCTTTTCGCTCGGATACGAAACGCGTCGTGACTAAATTTGCGAAAGATCCTTGCCAGGACACCGAGAGATGTATCCTAAGAGAACGGACTTTTGGATGAGCACGGAAAGAGATTGCGAAATTTCATCATGGAGCAAGAGAAAAAGTTAGAAAAATGAAAAGATACAATCCATGTTCGTCTCATTTTACTTTTACTCGGCGAAAAGAAGGATATCGTGCATTGAAAATAAAAAGTTGAAATTGATGTTTCGTCTACTTCATGAAGTCATTCAGAGATAATGAGAAAGCACTCGTCAAGTACTTTCGATAATCGATAAACGATATAAAAAAAAAAAAAAGAAAAAGAAAAAGAAATAAAGAAGAGGAGGGGAAGACGCGATAAAGAATCGACTGTGCTATAGAGCAGACGCTACATGGCAATTACAGGGTCAACGGGCCAAGGAAAACGTCGTCCAGATACTCTTGAGTCGAGGTCATCGCCTTTGAGTACTAGCCAAAGAATTTTCGATCTCCCACCGTGGCTGATTCCGCTCCCGACACGGTTCCCTGCCTCGAAACAAGAAAAAACGAGGCAAATATTCGCGGCCGACTACTCCCTTTACCTTCGTTTTCCATCGAGAAACTTTATCGGCTTTCAACGTCTTGTAATATTTACGGCCGAGCTACTAACAAACGTTCGAAAATTGAACGAAAAAATAAGTAAATTGAAATTAAAGAAGAAGAGGGGGGAAAAAATCGACTTACCATCAGCTTATCCCGGTCCAAGAAAGGAAGATCGCTCCCCTTGATATCCTTAGATTTGAAGACGTCCGCATAGCGGTAGAGATTTAGAGCAGCCATCCATTCGACAACGTTTAAAGATGTCCACTCGCTCACGGGCTGTTAAAAGAGACGTGACACAGGTCAATCTTTTAAATAGCAAAAACATAATAGTAATCGGACATTAAGTCGCGAGAGATTCACGCGCATATGGTCCACGACGAATGTTCGCAGATATAATTAATCGGCTTTCTCACGAATAGAATTACGTAAGATTTCCGGTAATCATTGGCCGCGAATTCCGCGCTGATAAATCTCAATGACGCGCTTTGCCATTTAAAAAAAAATTTTTCGACGAAGAATTTTTATATAAATAGAATGAATAATGTCTTGCATAAAAATTCCAACCATCACTGTGTTTCACTAGTCACAAATGTTAATGTCGGCTATAAGAATGTGGAAAAAAGATTGTCAATGTATTTCAATCCGTGTGAAGATAATCGTTAACCTTAAAACGAATATTTTTTATTCTGCAATCTATATATGTCTCATCGTACGAAGTAACATTGACGTAAGTAAGTAGATTTATACATACTATGATCAGACATAAGAATTCAAGACTCTTACCTGATCCCTCCCTATGATTAAATTTACGAATATATTAGATAATATCAAGAAGAAAGTTCTGTTATTCCTTCTGTGATATGATAGAAAAATTTAAAATTTAATTTCACTCGAAATTATTCATTTCTGCATATTATTTTCAATTTAGAATGAATTCAAACAAAATTCGTAAATTAAACATTTTTTTAAATAAAGTTATCTTAATGAATAAAAATTTTGTTTTTTTAATTTCTTGCATCATTCTTTCTCATCGCATAAAAAATAATAAAACTTGTTTGATTACTTGATAAATATAAAAACTACATTACCGAAACGTATCGTTTATTGTTCTGTCTCGTCGTTCGCGAGGATGCTGTCGGCGGATGCGAGCGTGGATGCGCATCCACCACGCGACCAGAAGCTCGGATTAGATAGCACTAGCGCGAGAGAAAGAGGACGAGGAGACGAGAAAGAAGACCGAGCGCACGTACATACACGGCCAGTATCGGGAATGCTCCGATAAAGCGAAAGCGTAAAAACCAAGGGAAAAAGAAAACGTAACCTTCTCTCGTAACCTTAAGCCTACGATCGTGACGACACGAGCGAGATAAGGCCGCGTATCACCCACTCGAAATGAGACTCGGAATATTGTCTCCTGCGAATATACACGCGATTCATTTTAACGCTCCACGATACGTTACACGAAGCGTTACTCCGAACTATTTTCATCTCTTTACTCGTCGCATCGTTCGAATCTTTCTATATAATCGAGATAGAAAATGAGAAATGATAGCGCCGAATTGCGTAAATTTGAAAATTGAATTAGAAATACACGATACACGATGTGTTGGTTGAAACCAGAGATGCGAATGTATCATTCAACGGGTTTGGCGCTAGCTCGCAAAATTACTACGCCGTGACATCGTGTCGTTCATAGGAATGCTTGCCGCTCGTGTGTATGTAAATTCGTGCACGTTGCCATTTCTCGTGTTCACGTGAACTCGTAAACATAAATTGCCGGAAAGTATGTATTATTCTATAAATAATACGTAGATTAGATTAAATCTGATCTTATTTCGATATTTTGAACCTTTGCGAATAATTGTAGATAAAGGTCTAATAACGATCTAGCGGAGATGAGGAAGATCACCGATAAAAAAGTCGAGATGGAGAATACAGTGATTAGCAAAGATTTGATTATTTTTTTTGAAATTTAATATAGAGACAGTAGCAATGTTACGATTTAGGTCGTTACGCCATCAGATCTCGAATAGGTTTCGCTCTGATAACGAAACCTGGCTAGTGTTTGTGTACAAAGTCATGTTCCGAATAGAGGTGGGTAAAGGGGAAAACATGCGTTCGAAGCAGACTTCCAATGCTCGTGGTGAGAATATGTCTGCGATTTATGCAAATTAAACAGAGATACGGAGATAAATTGGACGTGGAACCAGTTGGTTCACCTCTGAAGGCGAGTAACAGGAGCATGGCAAATAATTTTCCTTGTAAATCGTCGGTTTCAGCTACTGTGCACCATGAGAACAAAAGCATTCTTATATTTGCTTGAAATACGATATATATGTATATTTTGCGCGCAAAATTAATTTTATCAATTAAATTTCATTGATTTACAACGCTACAATTTTAATTTTAGAATATAAATCGATTAAATCGCCAACGTGACCTTGTTCATATCTAGAACTAGGCAAAATCGTTGTCGTGATTGTAAACCTGAACTTTGACAGAATCGTTTGCTGACGAAAAGATTTGAATCGAAATTCATTTAATAAAAATGTGCGACAAAAAAATCAAAATTAGATATCGAACTAAAAGAAATTTATTTTTAAATAATTTTAAATTAAATTTTCTCGAATCTCTATCTACCTATCTATCTGGGTACAAGAACAACAAACGATACCTTTGGTTTCTTAACTTTCTCTCTTACATGGCAGATGGATTAAACTGACATATTTAAAAAAAGAAAAAAGAAAAAAGAATGATTCAATGTGTATTCGAAGATAAGAGCAACGATTCTTCAATCAGTTTATCAGTGATGTCTATCACGTGTTGACAAGAAAAAAACATGTAAAAACGAAAGAAAGAAAAAGAATATGTAAAAATAATAATAATAATAATAATAATAATAAAAGAATAATTAAAAATAAAAAACGGATGATTTTACTGACCTTGTCCTTGTCGAGAACCTGGCCCGGTAGCGCGTGACCCTTGCTACTCCATTGGCAGAGGTGCTGCCCGCTGTACTCCGAGCAGACCACGTGGAAGCACGCATGGCACTCTGGAGGACATAGAGAACCGCACATGCAGCAACATAGATTACGCATAGTAGCCGGCTCGCGGCCGGCTCCAATGCCCTTGTCAAGGGCACGCTGTCCGCTATCGCCACCAAAGCC